CATGTGCACTCACACACTCACACCCATGTGCACTCACACACACACACACTCACACCCATGTGCACTCACACTCACACCCATGTACACTCACACACACTCACACCCATGTACACACTCACACACACACTCACACCCATGTACACTCACACCCATGTGCACACCGTCCATGTACACACACTCACACCCATGTACACACACTCTCACACTCGTGCACTCACACACCCATGTACACTCACACACACACCCATGTGCACTCACACCCATGTACACACTCACACTCATGTGCACTCACACACTCACACCCATGTGCACTCACACACACACACACTCACACCCATGTGCACTCACACTCACACCCATGTGCACTCACACACACACACACTCACACCCATGTGCACTCACACTCACACCCATGTACACTCACACACACTCACACACTCACACCCATGTGCACTCACACTCACACCCCAGTACACTCACACACACTCACACTCACACCCATGTGCACTCACACTCACTCTCGCACCCGCAAGCCCCCCCGCGCCCCCCCGCGGGGAGCCTGACGGATGGGCTCCTTTCAGTCCCGGCTCCTCGTTATTGACTTTCCTTTAATGAAAGTTAATTATAACAATGGTTTAATTAACAGCGGCGCTCTCCGCCTTTATGGCTTCCCGCATTAGGGCTGCCCATAAATACGGCTGCTGACAGCCCGCGCGGCCCCGCACCCCGCCCTGCGGTGTCCCCGAGGGGCTGATGTCCCCCCGGGGGAGGGGACAGCCCAGGACGCAGTTCCCAGGGCTCCCCCGACAATGTCCCCATCCCCTTGGGGACATGGCGGAGGGCTCAGGGTGGCAGCAGGACTCAGCCTCAGGCACCTGGTGTCCACCCTGGGGACGCTGTCACCTCCTCAGGGGAAAAACCGAGCCCAGCACAGCGAGGTCCCCCCCGCTGCGCCATGCCCCAGCGCCAGCCTCCGACAAGTGACATGGGACGGGGCCACCAAGGAGACGCGAGGAGCTGAGACCCCGTTATCAAACCGTCTTTATTCCCCTCCCGCCCGTGGCGGGGTCGGGGCTCTCCCCTGCCCCCCAGAGTGGGACCGGGCACAGCAGGGGGCCAGCACTGTCACTGTCACCAGCTCCGTCACATGGCGAAGAGGATGAGGAAGGCCACCATGAGGCAGAAGAGCCCCATGGCCTCGGAGAGGGCAAAGCCCAAGATGGCGTAGGAGAAAAGCTGCTGTTTAAGCGAGGGGTTCCTGCAGGGAGAGGAGAGGTTGGTCAGCGGGGCCATAGCAGGTCCCCAATACCCCCATTTCCCACCCCAGTGGCCCCCCCTGACCTGGCGTAGCCGATGATGAGGCTCCCAAAGACGGTGCCGATGCCGGCGCCGGAACCGGCCACTCCCACGGTGGCAGCGCCAGCGCCGATGAACTTGGCGGCGGTGTCGATGTCCCGGTGGGCCGCGCTCGTCTGGATGGTCCGGCAGGCGCCCGGCCGTGCCTGGGGGACGGGAGGGTGGGCAAGGAGGGGACTAACCTCACCCTGGGCCTCAGTTTCCCCCCACTGAGCTCCCCGCAGACTCTCGGGGAGCCCCAGAGCGGGCAGGGGGCACAGTCGCTTCCCTGCACCCCTTCCAGGGCTGGTGCTCAGCACCCCCTAGCCCCCCCAAGTGTCCCCCAGTCCGAGTTGGGCACGTTACCTGCTCCGTCCAGGCCTCGGGGCTGCTCAGCGTGGAGGCAGAGAGGGGCTGGTACAGCACCCGCGAGCTCCTCCTCACCTGCAAGGCACAGCACCCTCAGATTTGGAGGGGGTGTGTGCCCCACCCTGTGTTCACCCAGGGCAGCAAAACTCTACCCAAGGGTACCCTGAAGCCACCACTGTCACCTCCAGTACCCCCCAAACCTGCTCAAGCCCCTCAGGGCACCCCATGAGCAAGCAGCACCCAGCTGGGAGAGCCTGTCCTGGTATCCAGCACCCAGAGCCCTGCTGAGGGCACCCCACGGCCGCAGGCATCGGCGTACGGATCCCGCCTGCCGCCGGGACTGGCCCCCAGCCAAAGGCGCTTTCCTCCCAGCACCGTATCCACCTCCACGTGGGTAATTAGTAACAATCTAGGGACAGCAAACGATCTTTAACCAGAGCGGCTGAGCGCTCGGGACTCCGCTCACCTCCAGTGCAGCCCAGGGTGCGTCCAAACCTGCAGAAAATGTCCCCAAACCCCTCCCCGTGTCCCTGAGGGGGTCACGCGTTCCCCCGCACACCCCCTCGTCACGCAGAGGGGAAGCGAAGGAGGGGTTTGTCACTACTCACTAGCACAGGAACAGAGACGAACTTTGCACAGGCGTACATGGTGTGGGACGGAGGGACACACGCACGGGACGTGGCTGGAAAAGACAGACGGACACCGGGGTGTGAGGAGCGGCAGCACGTGGGATCTAGCCTCGCGGATGCAGCGTGAACCCCCGGGACAGGCAGGGGGCTTGGGGACACACAGGAGGTCTGAGCCACGTGGGAATGGCAGGGCAGGACATGTCTTTGTCACCCAGGTGACAGCTCCTGGCTGAACGCCACCACAGTGGCAGTTCTGGACTCAGGAATTTGGGGTCCTGGAGTTGCTCCAGTGCAAGTCCTGGGGGGAAAGGTTTCACCCGCCCAGGAGCTCAATGAGGCCCCTGGTCCCTGTGAGGTGGGACAGGCTCTGGGGCTCCCACCTCGGCCCCATTCCCTGGG